TGACCCAGGAAGACGATTGATGCACACGACCCTGTGAGCATTCTTGGGGTTGCTGTGGGTACACCTGTTGGTGGGCTTAACTTGGCAATGTGCGAGCTTCCCTTTGACCTGGCAGTGGAAGAGGTCACCAGTGGTGAGCACAGACTTGTCTTCTCTTGGGATCTCTGGTCTCTGATATATTTGACTAGATAGCAAAGGATTCCCCACTTACCAAGGCGCTGTGGCAAGACAGGAAGCAGCTGGGCTTTGACTGATCAAACTCTCTCCTCAGCTTTTCTGGCTGTATAAACATTGAGCTGATCTGATGACAGGAGAAGGAAAGGAAATTAGGTTTCCATTAGAAGTGCTGTCTTGGCTACTCTTGATTGGAAGAGGGGTTCCTGTAGCAGCATTTGCTTGGTAGAGCTACCCAGCACAGAATTGGGAGATTACAAATTCCTCACAGTACTGTCATTTATTATTCCTTCCTCATTTTGAGAAACTGGCAGGAAAGGACAAGGAACAAGCTAAGTTTCTTGCCTCTGCCTCATGGTAGGAGGAGACAATGGCTTGAGGTGAATAACTGTCAGATTTGGCCAGCAAGCCCTTCACTCTGTCCATGGCAAACATGTGGCAGACACAACTGAACAGGGCACTGGCGGGCAAGAGGAAGCCGCTGGAGTGCTGGCTGGCTGGCTGGCTGCGCATCCAGCCTCCAGGGCATGACCAGACAGAGTCTGGTCTCAGAAGCAGTTAGGGAGTGTCCTGAAGACTCCACCTGTAGCTTTCTCTTGAAGGCAAATAAAGCGTCTCTTATCTACTCTTCCTTAGTGCTGATGAAGGTCTCTTAGGAAGTTTGACAAAATCTTGTGAACTGGATGACTTGGAAGACCTTTGGTTTATCTTCATTTGCAGGGCTGATTTTGATTCTATGCAGACTTTTTTCCAAAATGGAATCAAAATTTCCTAGGTATTTTAACCTTCAGATAGTTCGTAAACATCACAGTGTTTATCATTCCATAGGATTGTTGGTGCTGAATCGTGACTGGACAATTACGAGAAAAGATTGGGGCAGTAGAGTGGTAGAATCGATCTTGATCAGCAGATGACTTTTCAGGAAAGAAGGTGGGGACATTAGTTTTCTCCCCTTAGCTCTCCATATTTTTCTGTTTCTCTTACTTTTGCCCTTTATTTTCCATTTTAAAGGCAATTTGCAAACTCAGCATCTGACCTCTAGTGCTGTAGGCTCAGCGCCAAATGGAAAGCAGAACTCTGTTCTTCCACATTAACAGAATTCCCAGAAAAAAATGATCCATTGTTTCAGATTATGGAATTATCTGGCAGCATGGGTACTTAAGGAGAAATTGCTGGGATAATGCAGAAGTTTGAAAATGAGTATTTAGTAATACCTTGTATTTGTGTTCCTTTTGCCATGTAACTCCTCCTCCTGTGCTAGCCAGCCAGTAGCACAGCAAGGTGGGCAAGGGCACAGACTCAGTGGTCAGATCCCACAGTGGTCAGTGGGAGTTGTGTGCTGGCTTTGTCTTTTAATCTGGGCCTTGATGTTCTCATCTGCAAAGTAAAGTTAGTGGTAATGCCTACTTTGTATTTATATTATGGTAAGTGAGAAGACTTGTGAAGCACAGTGGCTGTCCATAGTTCAATAAGTGCAAATTATGATATGCAAGATAGGTGCTGTAGAGGTTAAACAGAGACTGTTGTTTCCATATTGGCAGTATAGAAAATGCCAGTAGCAGTGCACCATGCTCTAGAAGTTCGAAGGAAACAGCAATGACATCCAGCAGAGATAGGCAGAGAGGGGGTGGCCACTGGCTACCCGCCAGCAGACTTTTCTTGGCCTGTGGCCAGTGTGCCCTTGCTCAGGCTCCTGCTGTTTCATCACCCTAGCCCTTAGGCCACCGAAGTCCTTCCTCCAGCCCTCCTGTTCCTTCCTCCTCATTGAATGCTGCCAGGCTTCTTGACAGTGTCACCACCCTACATTTGATTAGCTTCTTTTCAGCCTACTTTCATGTTTCTAATCTCATTTAATCCTTGCAAGAGTAAGGGAGATTCCTCCATTTTTCAGATGAGGAAACTGCAGTCCAGGGAGGGGTAAATTACTTGCCAGGGTCTTGAGGCTAGAAAACCCAACTCCCCTTGCCATTTCACACTCAATAAGTAGACCCTGAGTCATTTCTTGAGCCTTACAAAATAGAACAAAAACACCCAGAGGTTGATGATGCAGGTGGTAGTAACCCTGCTTTAGTTAAGTGTAGGTTGCAGGGCTGGCCAGTTAGTTTACTTGGGAGAGAGTGGTACTGATAACACCAAGGTCAAAGGTTTGATTGAAATCCCATACTAGTCATCCACCCCCCAGCCCCTCAAAAAACAAATCTCATAAAATGTAGACTTCTTCCTACTGCAGTAGTGCTTCCTCTTCAGAGGTAATATTTCTCACCTATCTCCTTAAAACTCTGTGGTCAACTCTTTTTTTCCTGATGGGAAGACTTTAGATGGGGAGCTAAGAAATCTGAGTCCAGCTGTTCTCCACCATCCCAGTTGTATGGCCTTGCATGACTCAATGGCCTCCCTGGGGCCTGTTCCCTCATCTGAACAATAAGGGGATTGCTCTAAACCTGTGAGTCTCCACCATTGTTTTTTTCTAGGACATAAATGTCTGGTGACATTCCTTTGTAGACCTCCTTGTTGGGTGGCCTACTTCCCAGCTCCTTAGTTGTAACTCAACCCCCTCCCTGCACTCAAGGAATCACATTGGAATACAGAGAAAGTGAATGATGCTATTATAGGGATAACTTTTAATCTCTTCTGAGTTATCAGAAAAATAAGTAACATGCAAGGTGTAAGGCTTTTTATTAGTAACAGATCACTTTAACACTTCACAGTGAAAATGTCAGGGCCTGGTGTTGGGGCCTGCTCCGGGCACATCCCTCCTGGCCTGCTGCAGCCCCCAGTCCTCAGCATGCTAACTTAGCAGGTTTAAAGTACAAGTATCCTATAGTGTTCAAAGTGTTGCAAAACTTGGTCTTTTGGAAAAACCCCTGTGTGAATGCACAGAGACTGAGGTGTTAGATATGAAGAGCATCTTCACGCTGAGATGCAATTTTTCTCCTCATCTCTCCATCAAGGGTGTGACACTGCATCTGCACATTTCTACACTGGGCTAGAAAATAATCAGCCTGGCGTGTTTTAGATCCAGTACTGCCAGAAAACTGGGTACAGAATGCCCCCACCCCCAGGTTTCTTTTTGGCCTTCTGGTTTTGCTACTAATGGATTTATAGCCACCCAGAGGTCAGCAATACAGCCCTTCCTCAAAGCTTGACCAGAGTGCTTGGATTGGTAGCATTTCCAAGGCTTTTTAGCTGAGACACTTAGATGATAAGAATCTTTGAGGAAAGGGGTGGGGGAATGCGGACTAGGCCAAGAAGTCAAGTGTCCACTTTGTCCGTAGTTAACTGGACCCTGAATTTTCTGTCTGGTCCTGTAGTTGAGCATTGTCACTTAAAAAAAAGAGGATTTGGAGAGGACTAAGCAAAGTGCTGTGCCGGCTGCCTCCTGTCTCTCAGCAGCACCCAGCTGCCAGGGCCACAGCTCTCCGTTCAGAGTTAGCAAGGCGCCCACAAGAAGGACACCAGTGAAGGTGTGAACTCCTCCTCTGACCTGGAGCGGCTAACAGTCAATCTGAGTGTTGGATTTCTACCTGTTCCATAAGAAATGTTGCTGACAGTTATTACCAGCATCAGATAAAACTGTGTACAGAAAATTTTGACTGAAAATTAACAGAAGAGCCAAATCTTCGCAACCATAGTTAGATGTACTGGATTAGGAAGTCCAGATGGGCAGGTAGGAATCATAATCAGAACAGGGAGAAACTGTGGTACCTATAAGTTGATGCAGACAAATAAATAACTTCAACAGCAGTGGATCTTTCTGGTAGAATTTACATGGAAAAGAACTGATCCATTTGAAAATCATTCAATAAGAGTAAAATGGGAAAAATCGGAAACAGTTCATCTGTGTTGTATAAAAAGAATAGATCCAAGGGATTAGGTTTGCTTAATGGAGTTCAACTCAGAAGATTTTTGATCAAAATTCACCTATGTGGACTGGCCTGTGGCTCACTCAGGAGAGTGTGGTGCTGATAACACCAAGGCCACGGGTTCAGATCCCATACAGGGATGGCCGGTTTGCTCACTGGGTGAGCGCGGTGCTGACAACACCAAGTCAAGGGTTAAGATCCCCTTACTGGTCATCTTTTAAAAAAAAATATTTCGCTAATGCTGATACAATTCCGATGAAACTCTCTGGGTGTTTATATCCAGCTTCCTTGGGAATAAAACGGCAGGAACACAATACACTTTTATTCACCTGGCACCGTGAAACAGCTGTTTTTCTTAGTCGCATTTGGCCCTGGCTCGTGTGGCATCAGGAGCACTCTGGAGGGCCACCCCTCTGCTCCCACTTCTCAAAAGACAGCTGCCTTAGCAACAGAGGCTGGGCAAAGGGTACTCTGGGTGCAGGATGGAGGTGCTGCTGGGCTATGAGTGGTGAGGGATGGAGGTGTCAATGACTGTAGGGATTCCCAGGGGTGATCAAGCCAGGTGGTTTTTAAGGGCTGTGAGGAGAAGAATATGAAACTTATAGACTGATTATTCAGGTGCCCTGATTGATGCCTCCCTGTCCCTGTCATCTACTAGACCCACTTGAGAAAGGGTCTAAAAGAAAATGAAACTCAAATCAGGTGTCTGACCTCTGCTAAATGTTAGAGAGAGGCATATGACAGTCAGAGCTCTATAGAAAGCCAGGAGTCAAAGGCCATAATAAAAAGGCAAAATCTTCCATGACTTAGAGAAGGACAGGTCAGGTCTTAGGGTCTGTCCAGAGTGTCATTCTCCACATCGACTCTGACCTCACATGGCTGTAGTCATTTGAGCATGTCTACATTTATTGTGGTTATCCTGGGTTTGGAGAAAACATTTCATCCTGTTTTTCTCTCTTTCAGGTTTCAAGTGCCCCATTTGCTCCAAGTCTGTGGCTTCCGATGAGATGGAAATGCACTTTATAATGTGTCTGAGCAAACCTCGCCTCTCCTACAACGGTAAGGGCATGACCTGCCATGCCAGCCTCCCAAGCATCAGTCTGAGGAGCCTCTGATGGAGGGGGGCTCTGTGCACTATTATCACCCCACCTTCCAGCAGGAATGCCTGAGTGGTGGTGAGGAACCAGACTCTTCCAGGGAGCCTTGCTGTGCAAGTTGGAGGGGAAAAGGAAGGAAGGCAGGCCCTGGGGGTCAGGTCCGAGCCCTAAGAAGGCTCTCAGTTGCTCAGTTAGTCCTCTGCCATCCACACCCCATTCCCTCACCCAGTCTACACCTGACCGTGTTAGGCCCCAGGATAGCCTCACTCACTCTGAGAGTCAACAGAAGGGCCCAGGGCAGCACCGAATCTCCTTGGAGAAGGGGGAGTCTGTGTGTTGGGGGTACATACAGAGTACTGGCAAACACCTGACTCAGCCCTGTGACTTTCCATAGCAGAGAGCTTGAGGGAGTGTGATACATGGACACGCATTAGGGATTAAAAATGTTGACGCCTCGCCGAGCCCGTGGTGCACTCGGGAGAGTGTGGTGCTGGGAGTGCAGCAGCGCTCCCACCGCGGGTTCGGATCCTATATAGGGATGGCCGGTGCACTCACAGCGCTCACTGGCTGAGCGCGGTACAGCCAGTCTCAAAAAGGACCAAAAAAAAAAAAAAAATGTTGACACCTCATTGCTCCCCCACAGCCATATTGCCTCCTACCTTGGAGGCTGCCAGAGAGCTGAGCACTGAACACAGTGGAGGGGGTAGGGTCACAGGGACAGGGGATTCCATGACACCCAGGTCACCCTAACATAGCACCTCTGGGGACAGAATGAGTATGAGCATCTGCCTGGTATGCTGTGGGTGAGGATTTGGAGTCCAGCTGATCCAAGTTCAAATCTTCCGCCTACCACTCACTGACTGTAATCTTGGACAAGTTGTTCAGCTTGTGGGAGCCTTGGTTTTCTGGTTCATAAAATGGGGTAGCAAAACTGGGTTCATAGAATTGTCAGAACCGGGTAAGAGGTTACACATAAAACCCTTTGGTACAGAGCCCAGCACAAGGTCAGTGCTCAGGAAGTTACAACTGCCGTGAAAGGTGGGGACCATCCAGAGATTTCTTTGTGCAGTTTTCCAAAGTAGACTGTCTTCTCTCAGTGTTGCCTGGCCTGTGCCCCTGGTGCTCTCCGCTTTTCTATCCCATATGTTTAGTTTGGCCTCCAAACCATGTTCTTCTACAAGAACAGGCAGTGGGTGTGAGGGAGTGCTCTCCAGCCTTGGCCACCTGCTCAGGTTAAAGCCATACCAGTGGTTAGGAAACGAGTTCTGGGACTCCTGAGAGAGTCAGGACTGGATCGTTCACTTAACTCCCATCCTGAGAACACTCCTCGCAGACTTGTCCTCCCCACACAGCATTAGCCTAGGGAAGACTCATGATTCCAGAGTGTTCCTGGGAAATAAATCTGACGAATCTGATCTACTCACTTCTCCTGAAAACACATCCTACTATTCTGTTTTCTCTTAATTATTTGCTCTGCCAAAAGATTCCGGATGCAGGTGGTATGTTACCTACTTGTCTCAGCTATGTGATAAACTTTGCTTGAGCTGGAGGACCAGCTGCAGGGCAGGTTATATCCCTGGCTCTGCCCCAGCCTTTTCTTCCCTTTTATGTCCTATCCAGTGCTTGGGAAGCCCTTTTCCTCCCCAGTGGACAGCCTTTCCTTGTCCCCTGGGGACTGACTGGCACCATGTCCCTGAGTCTGTTCTCACATGGGCTCCAGGCTTCCTGTCAGCCTTGTCCCATTGCATTCTGTTGAGGATGCTCAAGCTCAGCTTTGTCCCTGTTAGCCATCTCTGCTTGGGACCATGGAGGGAGAGGAGGCTCCCCTGCCTCTCTCAGCCCTCCCCAACCACAGCCTCAAAAACCGTATTCACTTCTTGCCCACACGTGTAGAAACCTCATGAAGACCTCTTTTTGTCCTGTGGGTTACTGGGGAGAGTGCTCTATAGACACTGCCTTTGCTGTAATAAGGACACAAAGAAGCCTCAGAGGGGGCTTGGCCTGAGAGAAGTTGGCTCTTGGAGTCAGTCGTCAGCTGTGCAGGCCAGAATGCTCTTGGAGCCACCCCGATGAAGAGTTGCCCACACACCCATGTGGAGAACGAGGAAAGTGAGGGTCTCCAGCTCCTCCCCCAGAGAACTGCCTGTGTTACCCCAGGTGTCCCACGTCCTCCTCCACATCAACACTTGAGTGCCTGGTGCTGCTGGTCTGTCTCTTCCCCACCAGCAACCTTAGGGAAGGGCCCAGGAAACCAGGCCCAGCAACCCAGATTACCTGCATAAACTACACTCTGGGTCCCCTTAGAGGAAGGGGAGCTTGGCCAGCCAGCCTGAGGCACAGTCACTGCTGTTCTTGTTGTGTGCCTAGTTTTTCCCTCATCCTCTAACCAGGAGGCCTCCTTCTCAGCAGGTGTGTGTGTGTGTGCATGTCTGGTGTATGTATGGAAACTAGAGGCTTTAACCTCCAGGATCTCTTTGGGCAAAAGCCAGTCCTTGACCACCAGAGGCAGAGGCCAGTTGTCTCCAGTCCTATCAGTGGACTTTCTCTTAAGGTGATGAAGCTGCTTCAGAAACAATGCCCATCGGTGTACACTGTTAACGTGGTAAGGAGGCTTTGGTGGCACGAACTCCTCATATTCAATCTTTGTCTTTTCTGAAGACACCTAAACCTTCCAGGTAAGAGGCAGCGTGTGCTACCTGTGGTTATTGTGTGGAGTGGAAGTCTTCAGAGGAGACCAGGGCCCATCCCAGTTCAGATACAGCTCAAAGTTTCAGGGGCCATGGGCCAAAGCTCCTGAGACAGGAGCGCTAGGCTTATTTTGTTTTTGTTTTTGTTTTTTTTTGTCTTTGAGATCGGCCGCACGGCGCTCAGCCAGTGAGCGCACCGGCCATCCCTATATAGGATCCAAACCCGCGGCGGGAGCGCTGCTGCACTCCCAGCGCCGCACTCTCCCAAGTGCACCGTGGGCTCGGCCCGGCTTATTTTGGTCTTATCAGTAACTTGTTTCACCTATGATTTATCTTCATCCCAACCTCACCTGTTTCGTGTTACCTTTTCTATTTGAAAAAAACAAAGTGAGGAGACAAAGAGTCTGTTCAGTGTGAACTCTTGAAATCTTTCTGGGTTAGGAGCAAGGTGGGGCTTTCCTAGGGGGTGGAGAGAAGTTCTCTTTTCTTCTGAAGATTCATGGTTACACCTGGTCACTTCCCTGGAAACACACGCACATGCACACGCACACTTTCTGCAGTTGCTGGCATCGATTGGGGAAATTTTCAGAAAATTTATGATGGTTATATAAGATGAAATTTAGCTAACCACCAAAGGAAAAAAGTAGAAACCTCCTAAATGAGACAGACAGAAAGTAGTATTTTTCTTATTATGAGGGTTGGCCTGAGCTGTGGGTTGGAAGGCCTCCAGTAGCTGCCTGCCAGATTTAAAAGAAAAAAATGTAGGAAAGACAAGACTAGTTTAACTGGTTCACCCAGTGCTCAAAAGAAAAGTGAAGACCAACCCCTGGTGCTCCCAGAGCATGCACCTGGCTGGGGAGGCTTGTAAGTATGCCAGCCCATGCTGTAGGGGACCCAAAGCACTGACTGCTGAACCCCTTGTCCTCCTGAGCACCTTCCATGGGCAGCCCTAACCCAGGACTCCTGGAAGGTGAGGACGCTGCTCAGGAGAGAGGAAGGAGGTGGGGGCCCATTTTTGTGTGTCAAATGGTCAGCTTGAATGGGTCTTTTCATTTTTCTACCTTTCCAACATCTCCATTTGTGGCTCTGAGACCAGGGCACCTTGCCCTGAAGACACACACTTGCATGTTGACCATCAAATTGCTTGGCTAGCAGAACAAGCCTCGAGATGGTGGTCTGATTTTGTTCTGAACAGACAGTAATCATAACACTGTGGGGTCATACAGGTAACCAACTGTCCACTGAAGGCTTAGGGAGCACTGGTTCCAAGAGCAGCCAGGAGTCCTGGGCCCAGGGAGGTTCTGGTGGGGGCAGGTGCATTTGCCAGCAGAATCAAGGAGAGCTCGGCAGCTGTCCATGCTGCTTCAGGAGACTCCCCTGCTCAGCTTTGTTCTGGGGTGCAGGCCCATGCCCACCTACTTCGGTCATGATGCCCTCCCCCTCCTCTCTGCTGCAGGTCATTTCCCCCATCTTTAGGGCTCTTAATCTGCTAGATGTCACACAACCTTTCTTTAAGGGAGAAGGAATTCACGTAAAAGAAGAAATGCCCTGAGCTGGCAGACCTGTGTGAGCAGGTGCTTATGTGTCCTCTGCTCTCGGAGACCCTGTGGTCCCCGTGGAAGCACCCAGTCACACATGGGGCATTGCCTGGAACTATTGTGACATGCTGGAGTGACAGCTAAAGCCTAGCTGGAGTCAGACTGTGAAGGTGTCTGTCCTGATGCTCCTCCTACAGGACGGAGAGGGGCGGCGCCTCGCCCAAGCCTCCCAGCACTGCTGACTAGCTGCAGTGACGGCCAGATTGGCTACCACCAGGTGTAGGAGGAGCTGGGAGGGAGTCCTGCAGGGGCTTCATACAACCGGGGAAACCTGGGGCTGGCCTGTGGCTCACTTGGGAGAGTGTGGTGTTGATAACACCAAGGCCGTGGGTTTGGATCCCATATAGGGATGACCGGTTAGCTCACTTGGAGAGCATGGTGCTGACAACACCAAGTCAAGGGTTAAGATCCCCTTACCGGTCATTTAAAAAAAAAAAAAAAAAAAAAAAGTGGGGAAACCCGAAGCAGGTGGCCAAAGGAGATGGGATTGTGTGGGGAACTGTTGGGAGTCCCTGTAAATAGGAAGTGCTCCAGGCTGAGCTCACCCCTAAAAGTTGGCTGTCCTTACTGTAGCCCAACTCTCCCAAACACTGGATTGCACCTCACAGTGCAGGGGTGTTGGGATGGCACACTGCTGGTAGGGCACACTCTCTGCTCAGGGTCTCCCCTTTGCCTGA